CCGCCATTATCGGCGGACGAATGGAACATCAATAACCAATTTCGTAAGACTAATATCGCGAAAATTAGTTTCCTGAGGTCCCTTTTCCTTCGTGCTTCGTTCCTTACACTCTCTCACTCTCTTTCTCTCTCTCTCTCTCTCTCTCTGCCTCTCTCTCTCTATCTATAGCTTCGTTAAAAGGTCTATGACCTACTCGCCGTTCATGCTTTTCTTAATGTCCAGCCATCGAGCGAAAGCGATCGTGAATCTCCCTTTATCGTCTCGCAATACCCGTTTCCGGCCATATTTTCCTTTTTTTATCGCGCACGCTCGCCGTCGCACCGAAGAAACGATAATATACCTTTTAATCCGTGTCACCCAGATTTACCCGGTGAAATATCTACCTGGACGAGTTCGAATTCCGCCTAAATGCTTTCTGAACGATCCTCCGAAAATCGGTCATTTCCACTTTCCTATGTTCGCGTTGCTCTACACGCCGTCTCTCGTCGAATCTTTTATTTTTCGTCGACGAATTCGCGACAACAACGGTCCTTCCTTTTCATCTGGATCGAAGACACGTATCCGAAAATTCTGACGAAAACGATTCTTCGAAAGGCTACTAGTCGATCGTGTTGAAAACTTTGCTGCGCGCTATCAAACGCGTCGATTAATTATTCACCTTGATAACGTCGGACGATGATCTTCTCAGAACTTTGTACTCGCAGTCGGTAAAAGTACATAGATATCTCTAGATAATTTTATTTTCCTTCGAGTACCGCGCTTTGCCAGCAATTTCTTCAATTACACAGGGCTTCCACTTAATTATAAATTAATTGTTCGCCGAGTTATGGCTCGATTTTTACTCCTCTTTTCGACCTAATTACCAGAAGGCCTTGAAGAGCTCCGAAACTCACCCGTTCTTTCCCTTCGTACACCGGTTTTTCTCCGTCGTTTTTGCCTTTCGTTCCGGTTTCCCACCCTTTCTTGCCCTCGCGGTATCCAACTACCATTTCGCCAGTGTATCTCGAACTTCCCTTTAACGAGAAACCACTGTACCTTTCGTAACGTCACCTTTTTGCCCGGAATCATGGCGTTTCGATGTTTCTTTTCACAGCGAGGAAATTTCCAGGCCAACGAGGGTGCATTCGACCAGTGAATTTTCCGGTTTTCCCTTTGCGGCAAACGTCGATAGGCGTGTAAGAAGTCTCTTTTTCTCCCTCTCTCTGTCTCTCTGTCTCTCTGTCTCTCTATCTCCCCCTTTGCACGTGTTTCGTCGACCGCATTAATTATTTTGTCGAAATTTACATTCGCCCCGGTGTAGTGGGTGAATTTCGGTGGAGAAAAGGAGGGTAACACGGTAACCGTTGGCGTGTCGAATTCACCAGCGCGATAGACAAGCAAAGCGATAGACAAAAGGTCGTGCTTATCGAGCAAATTTGATCAATCGGCAATTTCACTCGGTCTATCGGGGACGATATTTGACGCGATTCCGTCTCGATTTCTTTTTATCGATCCGGTATAAAGGCTATAAAACGAGATGCTGGGAATGTTAAAGTTGATTTATTAACGTTTGATTTATTTCCCAATCGATCGGAACGAATGCATTTACCCTGGCGAGGCAAGATAGCTGGGCTCACCAACCTGCGCCGCGATCAACCTTTTCATTTCGTACCCTCCTCTGCTTTCTCCTCTCTCATCCGCTTCTCCCATTCCCCCTTTCCCTTTCGTCGTTTTTTTTTCTTAACAAGAATTCCACCGTTTAAGTGCCATATTTTTCGTGCGAGCTGTAAGAGCGCCGGGTGTCTATTAATAAGCATATCAGACCGGTGGAATCTCGCGATAAAAGTGATGTATGTCGGTGGAATAACGGAGCATCGCGCCAAGAGCGGCTGATACAAACCGCTCGCAACCGCGAACAAATTTCCCACGAGTCGCTTTTTAACGGCCATCGGATGTCAAACGTCTCTTCCTTCGGTTACTCTTTTCCAACGCGCCACTATTTCAACGTCACGGACGTATTTATTACGCATCGTGGTAACGTTCGCGCGTCATTTTTCTCCGACTCGTAGACTTTTGCTCATTTTTCCAAGTAACGTAGCCGACGACGACGCGCCGCTTATCGCGCAACGCATACGCGTTCGTTCGGCGGTTCCACTTCGCTGAGAAACGTTCGCGCGATAAAAATTGAAGCAAACGCGCGCGATCTCGGCGGAAGGAAGCGCCGTCGTTTAGAAAAACGGCCAGACAACCTGGTCATATGCGTAAATGTCTAGAATGTACGAACTTGTCGAATGCAAATTTGGCGACTTTTTCCAAAAATGTTGATGAATACGGAATCGCGAAGTTGCCGGTAGCTTGCGGCAACGGTAATGGAAGATCGGCGCGGTGGCGAAGCTGCAGTCGGAAACTCGGAAACGTTTCATCAAGCAACCGAGATCTCCTCTTACGGTGACCTATCCAGCTACCAGCTGCTATCTCCGCGTTCCTACTTGTAATCTCGCCTCCTTTATATCTTCTTTGTTATCAGCAGCCAGCGAAAGGAGGAAGAATCGAACGTGGATTTTGCGAACGAAACTTGACTGAGAGACCTCCATACGTAACATCGTCGGGCTACTTCGTACACGTCGTGGTTTCTCTCTTTTCGTTCCTTCTTCGTCGTTCGAACGATAGAGATTCTCTTGTCGACGAGAATCGAACAGCTGAGCCTTCAGGGATTAAAATTTAATTTGCTTGTACGCGTCGTACGCTTGTGGCTTCGTCTCTGTGGAAAGTTGGTGGCGCGGATTCGACGATTAAAAAGATTCGTTTGGGAAAGTATGGCTCGCGTAGTTGGAGCGATCGGTATCGAGCTAAAGTTCGCGACGAATCGGAGGATTAGGAGGATCGTGAAGTTTCCGCTTATACGTCGATCAAAATTCGTGCGACATGTACTGACAAAGAACACGACCAATACTTTTAGGAGCTTCGTATCACGTTCGGCGAACCGTCAAACAAAATTCTTCCGTGGTGAACAAAGGGAACGTTCCAAGTTTCCAGAGCCAACGACCTTCCTCCACAAATTCGTAACGTCGTAAGTTTCGAGGTTATGCGATGCAAAGTGAAGCCGACGAAATTTCGTAAGTTCGTAAACGGGCTTGTGGTAAATCGCACAGAAATCGCCGTGTTCGCGTTTGAGAAAAGATTGGCGCAACCCGAATTTTCCGCCGGTTGTTTCATAATCGCGCCACCGCGAAGATTGGCCGAGTCTGTCGAAGAACCTTTTGTCGTTCGGCTTCCCATTTCTGCCAGATCTCGCTCTTCGTCTCGATGAAGTATCGGAAGCAGGAGACTCGAATCGAAAACTGAGAGCAACGATGAAGAGAGGAACGAGGTGTGTCGCGCAGACCATCAACTTGTCCAATCCGGAGACATGCGTAAGACCAAAGAGGATTCAGAAGCTCGTTCATGCAGACATGATGCAGCCTTGTCCGAGCATAGTGGCTGGAGGCTCGTCTTATTGGACTCCGAGACCGGTGCCCATTAAAATCTGCACGCGGAAAGACATGCAAAGAACTTGTCCGCCAAAGGTGAACCAAATGATCGTTTCGTTGGGCGCACGGTTCAAAAGGCGGAAAGACGATTGAACAGGAAGCGTACGTGGTCGAAGAGAATATATTTATCGTTAATGAGATTCCGTTAGCGGGATCGAATCTCTCGACTCGTTAACAAGGCAGCTTTGGCGTTAAATCACGCAAACGCGTTCCCATGGCGCGAGTTCGACTCGAGTTCGCGCGATATACACGCGTCTAGGAAGCGACGAACGACGATGTATCGGCTCCTCTAGGAAACTGATTGGTGGATACCGTAGTTGCGTTTACCTGGAATTAGCTCGACGGTTCGGTGTACACAGGTATAGCGACGCGGATGAGTCTCTAATGGAGGCGGACAGTTTAGAGTTGGCGTACTTGTTAGGGACACGTACGTACGTGACCTCACGAGTCGAAAGCATCGTCGCGTTTAGCAGACTAGCAGACTCCAGGGTCCACTCGTTGAACAGAAAGCCGGATACTCTGGAGGGTTTCGTAAACGCGACAAATCTTTTCCTCTCTTTCACGGGCTTCTTTCCACGCCTGTTTCCATTTCCGTAGCTTCGCCATGTATTTTGCTGCAATTCGAGGATTCGGCCGCGATACCCGCCAATACGAATAAACATAAACTCGTTTAGTTAGAAATATCAACGTTTCGTTTCGTAAGTAATTCCGAGTTTTGTTCGATTTTCCGCTTCACCTTCGATATTCGCTTGTATACCGTGTGCCGGCAAATAAGAATCCGGCTCTCTCGATTCTCAATGCAAATACAAAGATACGAAGGAAGGAATACCGCGCTTGTTCTTAAAAACTCTCAAATATTGATATTCTTTCGAGTCACGTACGCAAACTTGGTACTCTGTCCAAAGAAACGATACAGTCGCAAACCGTAGTAACGTTATGTACGTTTGCGTAGCTCTGCGAGTGTCCGCAGAAGACATCGCCAAAGACGTCGGGTTACAGATTCTGTAACATTCTGCTCTTCCTCGTGAAAAGTAGCATCGCGGCTGGTCTCGTTTATTGGACGCATACCGAGGGCTTGTGGGGTAGCAGCGCCGACGTCGAGGACCTGTATCGCAGGATAATGGCCACGATCGCTCCCACTTTGGACGACAGAGAAGTAGTAACGCACGACGATAACAACGTTAATTTCTGCTTTTTCTCGATCCATGGAAATTGTTACGTTTTCACAGATCGAATTGCCTCGCATAAACGATTTCAAGAACACGATGATACAGAAGTACAACTACGCCTTGTTTACCATAATGAACTGTATCGTGAGCGCGTCGACGATGCTGCGCAAGCAGCTTCAACGTATGTTGGTCGACGTCGAACCAGCCAAGGTCGAGCCATCCAACGTCGAATCTTCCGACGATACGACGGATACCGAAGAGGAAAGTTAACACTCGCGCCATTGTTAAATCATACAAGGCAAATCCCTTGTGTAGTGTTGTTTGCCCTCGTCTCGTCAGTTTAAGAAGTGCTAATGCACGAATAAATTCGTAAAACACTGGCTCTGCTCTATCATGGAGAATACGACTACTTGCGTCAAGAGGTGACTGCGACAACGGTGTTCAAGATGTTCACGCTGGTTTCGTCGAGGACGTTGGCAAAGATGTTCTCGAGATGTTGCTTCACGGTACGTACATAGAGATTCACGTAAGCACGCGAAATACGATACAAGGACAGATTAAAATTCCGTTCAGCTTGCTTCCATTTTTTCTCGGGACACCAGAGGGTACGCCAGGGATTTCTCACGGTAGTTGCATTTTAAGCGATTTTTATGGTACCTCTTGCTATCGTTGTAAAATTTCAGGTTTCTTTCCAGCCGGTATTTTACCCGGCGCGAATTTATTCTCGCGACAGAACTAAGAATTCTATGGGTTTGAACGCGTGGCGCGAATAACATTGAAAAATACCTCGGAAACGAACTCTTAATCGAAGAAGGATCAGCCGCGAATCGGCAAATTCGATCTCGTCCACCCCTTCGTGCAATCCCCGATTTTCAAGTTCAATTTTTCTTTCCGCTCCCTCTTTTATAAATTTCGGATTATGCTAAATGAGGCTTTAACGGTCTCCGGAGATCATTTGGCATCGTTCGATCGGCTGAATTTGTTCGCGAACCGAGGGGATCCGCGTCTCCCATCTCCTTTCATTGAATCGACAATCTCGATCGAGAATTCTCTTCAACGAAGAGAAGTATGCTTCGTTAATTCGGAAATGTAGCTCCCTACGAAAAGCGGATATATTCTATCTATGTGTGCAGCGATCGCTGTTTAAACGGTCGCTTTCGTTTCGCTATCTTTCCCTTCGAAGTTCAAAGATGCATCTTTTTAATAAATCAAGCGTAATCGAAGTCGGTGGAATATCAGAGAGAGAGAGAGAGTCGGGATAGTCCTGTGGGAGGGTGATTCAAAGCACGATTCAGTTCGGACAGTTAAACAGTTTATTCAGATCGAAACTTTATGTAATATATACATACGAGTTAGTAGACGATATGCAGTTCTGATATGAAATCACCTATACAGTGAACTTAAAATATAATCGATTTACACGGACCTCGCATCATGCTGATTATGTACATTCGTTAGTCTCTAATTTTCGTTTTCGTGTTCGATCGAATCGCTTGCACCAGGTCAGCGGCGCATCGTTTCCTCGCGTGCCAAGAATTTTCCTATCGATGTTGTCAGTACGTTTGCCGGAAAAAGAGCAGCCATATAGAAAAGAAGAACGGCCAAAAAGAAGAGGAAAATTCTGAATTATATTCTTCATCTTTCCCTCGAGCAGAAACGAAACGTTTGGATCGTACAGGAATCGATGTAGATTCTCGGCTTGTGCGTGCGTTATACCGAAAATTGATTCTCGCCAGATCGACAGCCGGATACGTTTAGATTAAATGTTCGTGGACGTGAAAGAAAAAAGTGTGATCGCGTCGATCAGGTCGCTGGTTTCCACGCGGGAACGTAGCAATTTCGTTGGCAGTACGACGACGATCGACCGTAACGATGATTTTTCCAGGGTTCGATAGAAAAAGATGTTCGATCCGATTCCCGAAGCGCGGCTAATTCTATGTTTGCGGCGAGGATAGCGTTTACTCTAATTAACAAAGATCGTTGTTCGTCGAGCGTTTTGGGAAATAACGACCTGTCAACCTGTCACTCGAACAGAAATCGACCAGTCCCATCGAACGACGATACAGGTCGCGTCGTTGCGAATCGCCTCGATTTCCTGGCACACCGGCGTTTCCTACTCATCGTTAGTCAGTTCCATTAAACTCGCACCCTCGAACATCGAAATTACCGACGACGTTTGTGCGATCGTCCTCGAGCATGGTTCCCACGCAGGGCAAATTCTTCAACGATACATACTTATGTACAACGATACGACATTAACTAACGAGCAACGACTTTTAGTTACCTTTTTTTTTGGATTCTTTCATTATCCCTTTTTTTTCTCATTTAATACATCGAAAAAAAAAGAACACTCGACATTTGGTTCGACGTTACTAATCATTTGGATCGCGTAATCGATTCGCGATGCGTCACGCATTACGATAACTTAACGTTTATTTCTTTTTCGCTCGTTTTCTTCTCTTCGTTACACGTTCAAAGTAGAAACCGCATACCTCGAGCGAGAGTCTTGGACGAAGTTGGCGTTACTTCATTCTCTTAGGAATATACTTTGTCACTTTTTACTCCTAGTTTCGCCGTCAAGCTTCATGACTTCGTCGCAAAGTGTCACGTGGAAGCCCGGTTTTTCTGACCTTACAAATTCAATTTTTCACCCGAGTATAAAGACTCCTCGAGTCTCTCCGCTACTCCGTTATTCTTCTCCCGTTCGTTAAGAGAATCGAATGAAATTAGAAGAACAGTCGGACGGCTGCGACTTCTCGATAGAACAATGCACGCGGTAAATTTTCATTCTCCGATCGTTGTGCCTACACGTGCGTGTATATTTACAAGAGTGTTCCACTCACGTCGGAAATTAGGCTAAACGCGAAAAGGAACGTCCACGTCGACGATGGATCAAAATTTGGAAACTTCGTATCACAGCTACGATCGAGTACGATCGAACAAAATGTTCTTCGTTTTCCTAAAAAACCGCGTCTCGTCGCCGCGAACCGTCTCGTTTGCCAGCTCGCGTAACTCGCCAAACTATCTCGTCTCCGACTGTTCTCCTCAATTTCGATCGGATTCGTCGCGATACAGTTACAAACACCTCGAGTTTCTATTCTCGATCGCATCACTTATTGTCGATTCTTGCTTAACGCATTTTATCCTCTCCGCTAGGAAGAGAAAGCGATTTTCGTTGAATCAAACGTCGTCCCTAATTCCAGCGAATGTTAAAATCGCGTTGCGCTCGTACGAGATTTCGTGAGAATGCGAGAGAAAAAAAAGAAACGAAAGAAAGAGAAGGACGACCACGGGCAAAATAATCGAAAGGAGACGCCGACGACGTTGCAACGTATAAAATGGTGTTTCTTACAAACTACTTCCGCCCCGAATATGTTTTCCGTCGTTGAAACTGATTGATCAGCCTCGATACCGCGCATCACGCCTCTTCCTTCTTGCAACTCGGCGAAGTAACATCGCGTTATCTTTCCATTCCTCCGCGTCTTCCTTTCCTCTTTCCTCTCCCCTGATTTCCATCGTATATTCTCGCCCAGTTCCTCCATCCATCTTCATTCCGAGCAACCGGAAGAGGGGTTGTACGAGAACCTTTTATCTTTTCTCGCGTTTCTCGGCCTAATGCCTCGATGTCTGGAGAATTCGATTGGTAGGCTGAGACGTGGGTTTATTTACCCCCATTTCGATTCTTCGGCGTCGATTGCCAGCGCCGCCGGCTCCCTGCGCAATCGCTTCGAAGCGCGTTTAATACGTTGGGCTGGCAGTCGGATACAAAGTCGAACGTGGTTCTCGGGTAGAAAGTTGCGTTTCCTCGATACGTTACTCGAGACTGCCACTTTGGCGAACGGTGGTCCGGTCGTACGGCGTGTCCGGGAGGCGAAGTCACGTAGCGAGAAAGAAATATGCGAAAAGACAGCGTCGAAGATGGTTGGACTCGGAGTCTGGCGACGGAAACAGGGATAGGGGAAAGTTGCGCCGACGTTCGAAGACAGAAGAACACTACTTGGGAACATGTTGCCCAGGTGGAAAACTCAGGAGCGCAAGTTTTCACCTAACTCTTTTCCAGTTCGATTCTTCTTCTTCTTTTCTTTCAGTTCCGTTCCTTTCTTCGTCCGTTTCTTCCCGAGAGGAAAAAAGAGAAAAGAACAAATTTTGCCCGACTATCGAGAAAACGTTTACAAAACAATTTTGGCGGATACCTTCTCGCGATTGGAAAGTTTTCCCGACAAATCTAAGCTCGCGTCGCACATTCGCCTTTCTATCCATCGCTTATCCAGTCGACGATCTCCGTTAGCTTAGCGGCTGTTGTTCCGTTGCTCGCAACGACACGGCGGATTGTCTTTATGCCGCTTCGTACGATGTCTAATCGTTTCGCAAGACGAGTCGCGAAAGCCTTCGTTCGCTGCGTACGATATCGATCATCGAACATCTTAATGGTCAGTCTCCAGCCGTGCAGCGCTACGAACGAGCCGAAATTTTCGGCAAGGGACCTCTGTTCGTGTCGGTGAACGCGATACACGGACGCAGAAGGCGACGAACAACGAGGTCTAGACGCAGCTCTCCGGAAGCCTGTTGGCCATCAGTCGTCTCTTGATCGCTTCGCCGTCCAAGCACTCGCCAGCGACGACAACGCCTTGCCCGGCTCCGACGACGACGACACCTTGGCTGCCACCGAGTGTCACGCCGCCCTGTCCACCGCCCATCATCACTCCCGTCATGGGCATGCTCTGTAAACTCGGTATCGTGCTTCTCGATGGTAACCTCAGCTCCGTCGGTCTTCCGCTGAATTTGTGGCAGAGTTCGTCTATGCTTGGTGTAGGTCCGGGCGTGACCCAATGTCCCGGGGGATATCCACCTGGATAACTCGGTGGGCTCACTTCTACCAGGTTTCCTTCTGCAACATCGAACCGGAGATGATTCTTTTGGGATTCGTTCGAAACGATACGACGATGTCCCCGTGACAATTAGCCACGCGGTTCTTCTCGCCTTCTCTTTTCACCTTTGCCCTATCGAATTGTAACGTGCCGTTTCCTACGCAACCCTCCCGTACGTACCATCTTACGGAATGACCAACGTTCTTGGCTCGATGAAAGCGAGAAATCTATTTTACGTCGTCAAACCGTTGCATTTCATTTCTTACTAACATTCTAATCGCGTTAAACGAGTTGCCGCTTTCCCGCATACGTTTTTGATAGTCTCCCGTTATCGAGTTTAACGCCTGCCAATGGCTGGACTCGCCGAACAAGTGTTTCCCCAGCGGCGATATTTTAAGCAAGTTTTTGTATTTAAATTCGTGTCTCGTAACCAATTCCAAGTCGATGTAGGAGAAACGTAGACGGAAATTAGTCGGAGATGTTTGTCTCGCGAGCACGTACCACCGCGGTAAGCGGATTCTAGAAAGCGATAGGAACTGCGCGGCCGATCGCGCGAATCGATCGCAATCGCGGACTGGCCGAGCAAATGGAAAATGTTTTTGGAAAATATTTGGCGTTTTGGTTCGATCTCTTTTGTTGGGGATGAAATACCGCCGGCGCCGCGGCGCTCGGCAACCGTGTAAGCCGCGGTAATTTAATAAAATCTATACACGCTGCTATTACAAATCGCGGCGATGCTCGTAACCCACGCAATTAGATTAACTGCGCGTTGCGAGAACGTTTCCTGGCCATTATTTGAAAATGCAGAGCGGCGCGGCGCGGCGTGGCACGGCCATCGATCGTTCGCACGACCGCCGATCGGTAG